TTCTGCCGCCGTTGGTAATATTATTGTAAACCATTAAACTGTAATATTATTAACATTAAGCCATTAAACTGTAATATTATTAACATTAAGCCATTAAACTGTAATATTATTAACTAAGACCAATCAACACATAACAGAAAACATTTACCGGTATATATCAAATTATTATGTTCAATCTTTCCTCGTCGGTGCTTGCATAAAACGTGATTTGAATCTAACATGATGATATTTATAAACAATCGAAATTCTCTGTACAATATTGGGTTAAACATTTACAGAGGGAACTTCCTTATGTTGTGGTCATATTAGACTGTAATATTATTCAACAAACAACGTAATTTCCTAAAATTTGAATATCTGCAAAAATCAACAGACAAAATTCTCTATTATACTATATATATTTAACAACATTTTACATAACATTTGAGAATGTACTGAATATAAAATAGTAAATATTTTACATTTTAATCAGCAATCTATCAGAAATACGATGATTGGTTGTACTGTAAAGCCTTCAGAAACCCTGCAATACTAAAACTGGGATTCAACAGGCAGTGAATATTCCATTTTTAATTAGTGTAGATGTTTTTTACATATTTTTATTTTACTTGAATTCTTTTTATTTTGTATGATTCATATGTTATATTTTCCACAGACAGATACATGTCTTTATTTTTTATTACTTTCTGTACAAAACAGATATCATAAATCATCTATTGTCTGTGTTGAACATTTGACAACGACGATAATGTCTCCAAATTCCCAACCGTAACTTAGGCTACGGGTCTCGCTTGACACTTTACATCAAAGGGCCTGTTAATTAAACTTGCACAGGTTCCTTCTCATCATCATCAGTATCTTCTTTATCATCATAATTATTAATTGTCCATAGCAAAGTAGGGAAAAACTACCCAGGTAACAAGCCCATAAGGGACCCATATGGTGCCCATATGCAGATCTATATGGGTACCATATGTGCAATCCTTGAGGAAACCTCCGGAAACTGCACCCAAGTTCTATGTTGGACCCATATGATTTAGCCCACATAGCCTAGATATAACCCATTTGGGGCCCACATGGAACCCACATTATTTTGTATATGGGTGGCATATAGGTTTCCCATATGGGACCTATATTTTCTGACCCATATGGGTACCATGTGCTATCCTTGAGGAAACCTCCGGATTATGCACCCAAGATCCATGTGGGGCCCATCTGATTTAGCCTATAGTCCAGATATAACCCATTTGGGGCCCATATGGAACCCACATGCATTTTTACATGGGTTTCCCATATGGGACCTGTATTTTCTGACCCATATGGGTACCATATGTGCTATCCTTGAGGAAACCTCCAGATTCTGCAACCAAGATCTGTGTGGGCCCATCTGAATTGTCCCATATCCCAGATATAACCCATTTGGGACCCATATGGAACCCACATGCATTTTTACATGGGTTTCTTATATGGGTACCATATGGGCTATACTTGAGGAAACCTCCAGATTCTGCACCCAAGCCCCATGTGGGGCCCATGTGGTTTAACCCATAGCCCAGGTATAACCCATTTGAGGACCATATTGAACCTATATTTCCCAACCCATGGGTATGGTATGGACTAGCCCTTAAGGCACCCTCCGGATTCTGCACCCAAGCCCCATGTAGGGCCCATATCTTTCAGAGAACCCATATGGGGCCAACATGGTACCCTTATGTATTTGTACATGGGTGGCATATGGGATTCTCACATGCACCCATATGCAATTGCACATGGGTGGTACTGTATATGGGGCCCCTTATTTTCTGGCCCATATGGATGTAATATGGGTTTTCCCATATGGGGCCCCTCATATTCTCCACCAAAGCGGCAGAGCCCCATGTGGGACAAACATGGTACCCATTGCAGCTGCACATGGGTGGTATATAGGTGTCCCATATGTGAGGGCCATATTTTCTCGTTCATATGGATGGCATATTGGTTTGCCCATATGGGAGCCTGTATGGTTTAGCTGACATGGCCCAGAGAGAACAAATATGAAGGCCACAAATTTCTGACTTGGCTTCAAACTCTGGTTTCAATATTGGCTGAGTCGATGACCATGAGCTAGGTGTACATTTCAACAAATTACTCCTTTTCTGAAAATAAAACTGTTCAATTGCACGTAGAGTACACAATATTTTTACTGCAATGATTAAACAAAACGGTTATTTCATTTTAACACATCAATCATTTTATTTATTTTGTAGAAAAAGCAATATTGTCAATTGCAAATGCAAAATAGTGGTAAATGAAATAAAAATTTCTTAATGTCCCTTAATAACTATACAATTCAATTTCTCTAGCTCCTTATAAAGTAAGAATATTCCATCATTTTGATCGCATTGCAAATATCACATATATTTAAATTTTTTACTCTCTAAATGCAAAAGAGTGAACAACTCACTCGAAATCGAGAGTGAAATAACTTTCACTCCATACGAGTGACAACTCACTCTTTTGTCCGGTCCAGCAATGGCTTTTAATCACTCGACAGAAGAAGTGCCCAATTTACTCCAGCAGTGAGAGTGAAACTTTGACCAATCAGAAATTATCATTCTCTGTTATCCCAACCATTCAGAAGTTGGTTTCCAACATGACAGACGATTCGCGCCTCTTTCGATGATTCTCTTGCCTTCCATTTTGCTGGCCGCATGTGTAAGTCGTTAATAATGGATGGGCCTTTGAAGAAGTAGCATTTGCCAGTGTCCATGGCTTCATAACTGATAACCATTTTGGCCCAGAAATACAGCAAATATTTGAAGGTAATTTTAAACTTTAATTTTAAGTCAACATAAAAAGGTTTTCACCGTGACTGAGTGTGATGCGACTGTGTGAGTGCGTGAGGAGTGACAACTACACATACAGGGCCTGGCCGGCGTGTGGTGCTACGGCGGCTTTTTTTTTAGCCTAGCCTAGGCCTAGGCCAGGCTAGCCTATATAGGCCACTAGCCTGGTCCTAGGCCGTATTATATAGCCATGTGCCAGCCGGACACTCAGGAAGACTTGGTCCTAGGGTAGGCCAGGGACTAGCCTACCAAGGCCTGGCCTATAAATGCCTGTTATAACCGTCTTCTAATTTTAGGCTAGGTTAGGCTCTAGGCTATGCCTAAGCTACTAAACTATCCTCCTACCTACCTAAAGGCCTAGGCTGGTAGTGTATATTATGAGAGTGAATGCATACCTGGGCCTAGGCTAGGCTATTTAGTATAATAGGGGCATAGGCCTAGTGCGCCTAGGTTATAAATAGGCCTAGGCCTGGTAGAACCCTGGGCCTGCTGCCTCAGTTACTAACATAGCCTAGGCCTAGGGCCTGTATGGAATTGCACAAATGGAAGATTATTTTAATTATCATTACTTGATACAGTAACAATAGTCCTATTTAGTCCTTTGAAGTAAATTTTATTTCATCAACAATTATAGAATTAGACTCAGAATAATATATTTATTATTGACATAACCAATGGAACATTTAAAACGAAAAAACTTGTTTTCCCAGATGCAGTAAGGAGTCATAGATAAAATCAGTAATAACATTAGTAAATACCGAAAGGTCCACTGATTAATCTCAGATAAGAAAGTATAATACATACTCCAAGTATTGAAATACACGCCATCGTGTTGGGATTCAATATTTCGACATTAATTATGTCATCATCAGGAATGAATGAATGAATTAGTAAATACAGCACCTGACAATTGCAAAATATTAATAAATACTAAAATAGCATAATTTTTAATATTAAATGTGGCTGTTTTATGCAACTTTCCATGATTTTCATGTATAGTAAATTCCCTGTTTAAAATTGTAAAAAAAAAATTGCCTAGTTCATCGGAGTACTACAGTAATAAAATTCTTGCCTACATACTACTCACAGTCTACTTGATCCACATTATTGAATATCATATGAGGTTAGGTTTGCAAAACAGTGCAAATTGTAAGTTAAATTTAATGTTTGCTATAATTGAGTTAATATAGTTTCATATTTCTTTTCTACAGATAATGCTGTAGACATGGAGTGGGAAAATACACAAGGACTTGCCCAGCAATCTGATCAATCTGATTTTACTGACAGGCAAATATGTACTCCAGCACTACGAAAGGCAACAAGTATATGTACAAGTTCAAGTGACAGCTACCTAAAGTGGACCAGGCCAAGTTTATGTATTAAGCAAAATCAAAACAAATTTCAATTTTGGTGTAGGCCATGGTGCAGTGCTTATGAGTTTAATTGTTACTTGTGAGATAGGTTTAGGAAGCATTTAATTTCACAGCAACCTATAAAGGGAATTTTGGTTATAATTGTTTAAAATTATTATTACCCTTCGCTGTAAAGTTTGTGACACCTCAAATTGCTCACTTCTGTAGGATAACTGATAGGAGTTTTAAATCATCTGGGAGATAGGAGCAAGTGGTGTCAGTGAAGGATGAACATTGAATTTTTCGCCAGTTTTTAATTCAAAATGTAACAATAATAAAGATAGTATAATACATAGTACTTCACGTATTGAAATGCATGCATTTCAATATTTGAGTATGTGCTATTATACAATCTTATCTGAGATTATTCAGTGAACCTTTTTGTTTAAAGTAACAATGTTCTATTGATCCACACTATTTCTTTATCATATAACTGTAAAAATTCATAAATTGTGATTTATTAATTAAGGATTTCAATATTCATGATATTTTGAGCAATCATGTGAAAGGAGCTGCTGTATTGAAGGACCTCGAAAGTGAACAGATGCCAACAAATTGTGACAGAAGAACGCTCATAAACATAGTAGTTGCCTTCATGGTGGAGAATTGTGGACATGACTTGTAAGTTTTTCAATTTGTTAAATCATATTGAGCATGCATCAGACACACAAGGCAGATGTTCATATATAAATAAATAAGACTATTCCAGATAAATTCTGCAAATCACAAAACACTTTTAAGTGATAAAATGTATGCTGGAATGCATATGCTGTTCAATGTTCAAGGCCCAGCAAATAGAAAAGTAAAATAAAAGCAAAGCAAAATTAACTTGTACACAAATATGGAATTCGACATCGCTTTATACAGGATTTGCTGTATGTATCATAATTTTTTTTTTTTTTTTTTTTATTGCAAGTAGATTCAGAGACCCAAAATTGTTATGATGGAACTTTTCTTTGCTTATGTGACCACAAATGAAATTAGTCAAATTTATCAAAAACAGTAAATTTATATTGTTGTCATATAAAATATTTTTTTCAATATATCGAAGTGACCTCCAATCATTTTGTCATGACACCTCACAACTCGTCACTGCTAGTACAAGTGGAAAAGGACAAAGATGTATTTTTTTTTCTTTGATCATCGGGTGGCCTACTGGACCACAAAAGCTGGCTGCTGCCAAGGCCATTGTTGAGCAGTATCCTTGTACCAAGGACCATATGCCTAATGCAGAGGGACATGTAAGTTGAATTAAAAAGCTACCAGGCAATAAAAAATAATAATAAAAAATATGTTTTTTTAAATTTTACAGATTTGTTTTGCCTTTCTACAGTACAGTACGGTACAGTTATTTGGTAATTACAGTATGAGGATATCTAGAGCCAAAAATGTTGTCAAAAACAGCTAGTTTTGATATTTTGTATATTATTTTGACTGATTTCACCACATTATGTAACTTAAAAAAAAGTTG